AAGCACATAGCAGGGTTTACAATATTATTAATACATATCATTCGCTATTAAGAGTTTACTACGAATATCGTAAGAAAAACCATAACCTACCTCCACCTAAGACTAGTGATCAAGCAAGAATTTCCCAAAGCCTTGTGTTTTTCCTCTTCGTTCGTCTCTCTCTATCAATTCTCCTTCTCTCTCTTTCTGTTCTTTTCTTTTTCTTATTCAAACCCTCTTTCTTTTACCCTAATTAGCATATAATTAAGAATAAAAGATGGTAATAATAACCCACTAATTTACTCAAGGTTACCTCTTTTAACCCCCAAGTAATTAGACTTATTAACCTTAACCCTCTAACTTTATAATTAAAGTAGGAATAGTCCAAAACGTCCCTTAAAACGTGTAAAGAAATCCGACCTAGACTGGGATTACGCAACCTGTGACGGCCCGTCGTGCCTGCGACGGTCCGTCCTGCAGGTCGTCGCAAGGTTCAGAGACTCAATTTCCACCAAAGAGTCTGTGACGGTCCGTCGAGCCTGTGACGGTCCGTCCTGCCATTCCGTCACGAAGTTCAGAGAGTTGATTTTCAGTACCCAATTTCAGAATTTCTAAGTGTTTTGAAACGAGACCCCTCGACGGTCCGTCGTGGGTTCCGTCGTCTCAGCCTGTTTTTTCAGAAATAAAATCTGTTGCTCAAAACGACTAAACAGGTTACATTAGGATTATGGTGAAGTGAAGAATATCTTTTACATTCAGACTAAATTTGAATTTTAGATGTAATTTTTACTTCTATTAGAGTGTATTATTTTTAATATAAATGAATATCTTAAATCGATAAAATTGATAGTGGACTAATAAACCTAAGAAAATATAGAAAAGATAAATTGTACGAAAGAAGACCTAAAATATAAATTATCGCATTTGATACAAAAATAACTTCATCGATCTTTTGGCTCTAAAATACCTTTGACGTCAACGTATTATATCTGAAATGCCCTTATTTTGTATAGTCATATTTTAAAATGTTATTAAATGGATCATTTATTACGCAAAACAACTTTATTGGTATGTTTCAGAATTAACCTAAATTAATTAAATCTCAATCCAAACCTAGATCCACCTAAAGAATCCATAGCCACCCGCCCTAAATACCCATTAAATTAAAGAGGATAAAAACCTTGATTTCATTTAGTTAATTATTCTAAATTTGATTTGGTCTTCAAATTACTATCATTTTTACAAAAAAACTCATCTTCAACGCCCTTCAAAATTAAAATATAGCTTCATAATGATGGTAAGACAATAATCTGAATCACCGACTTTAAAGTAAATGACCGAAGAGCATTTTATGGTTAATATGTTGATATTAAAGGTATTTTAGAGTCAAAAAATAGATAAAGGTTATTTTTTTTCATCAAATCCGATATTTGAAGAGAATTTTAAGCTCTTTTCCGTAATTATATTGATATCTTTTGAATTGATTGTATTAAGTGGTGAGTTTTTCAATTGATGTGTATGCAATGATGTTTTATGTGGATTTAGTTGTCGATGAATGCATATATAATAAATAATTCTTTCAAAAAATAACTTCAAAATATTTTTATCACATAGGTTGGATAACTTATGGAGAAAATCAGATTTAACAAGTTAAAAAATGCACGATTATATAGCTAAAGAAAACAAACTTAATGCCTAAAATCATCTCATATGTTGCTAGTGTGCTCTACAAACCTATTTTTAGATGAATTCATATTAACCAAATAAAATGAAAGATATGATAGGAAAATTCGACATAATATATGAACTGAACCTATATAATATCTAATGAAATTTAATATATGTGTAAATCAAGAGTTATATATATATATATATATATATATATATATATATATATATATATATATATATATATATATATATATATAAGATTCAAAACACAACAATTATTACTATTACAATCAATATAATCATAATTTTTTAAAACAAATTAACAACATACATAATTGTAAACATATTTTAATTATTTATTTCTAATTTCACGAGTTAATATTGGTTCGACCCTTGATGTTGGATTCAAAAGCATTTTCTGTAAACAAAAAAATATAAGAAATTATAGTTTGAAGCACAATCGCATTAGTAATTATAGTTTGTCTAATTATGATTTATATGTGACAAGTGTTTTGAAATTGTATATGTTCGTTTAAAATCAGTGGTTAAAGCTAAAATTTGAGATACAAGTTCGACTGAACTCAATAACTTTAGTGTTTATCTTTAAAGTTCATTAAATATGTACATAGTTATTAATATAGAACCTAGTAACTTAATAAAATTAAAATTTCAAATTAATTAACTTTGAATTCTAACTTCGATTTTGTTAGGAGCATTATATTTTCAGTCAATCTAACTATATCCAACACATACAATTTTGTTAGATATATAGTGTAACTAACACATACAACACACTTTAATATTTTTCACAATCATTAACTCCAAAAAACCATACATACAACTGATATAAATATAAACATTTGTTTGTGTTTTTGTTTATGTGTATCAAAAATAAACTTTTGATAACATTTATGTACCATTTCATAGACATGTCCCTAAACTTTTTAGGGTTTTCCCATTAGGTATCTTAGCTATGTCATTTTCCTATTAATTCTTGAAAAGCCCACAATTTATTTCTTTTAAATACTGTGGGCTGATGTGTCGCAAAATGTAATCTCACGTTGCTTGAATGCATGAAGACGTTTTGAGGGCGCGGATGTGAATCCTTGAACCACCTACCAACGCTTTTCTTCCCCCTTTAATCCTAATTTCTCTCATTTTTCTCTTATTTCTCCTTTTTTTTTTCTCTTCATTAATAAGTTGGAGTTGATCATCAAAATATATCTCTTCTTCACTGATTTCTTCTTAATCATGAAGTTCCAATGTCGAAGTTATCTTGTTCATTAATTTCTTCTTCTTCTTCTTCGACCCGAAAGTGTTCTGGGGGAAAATGAAGGGACTTTAGGTTTTTTGGTTTGGGAAATAACTGCGTGACACTGACGTGTAAATGGATGAAAGTTTGTTTGGTTGCAATTTCCACGCGAGAAAGGTGGATATCACGCGCACAATCAACAAAAATGATTTTCATTAACAGTAGGAAAAATTTATCGAAAATGGATGACAATTTTTTGTAAAATTCAAAGAATCTCATTTAAAATTTCAGGGATTGAATTTGGATCTGAAATTTATTTTAAGAAATACTAAATAAACAGAGTGAACACTTGTCGAAATTAACCTAAAAGATTGAATCTAAGATTTCTAAAAATGTAATTAGAGTGAAAGGGCGAGTGATTGTAGAGACGATGAACATGAGGCGGAGAATACAATACGCATTAGGGTAGATTTTTTTTCTCCTTTTATTGACACACATACCGTATAATAAAATAATTAAAAATAGACAATTAAATACGAATAATTTATATTAAATATCCATTAAAACATTAATGTATTTTATTAAAAAAGATGTATTAGAAGTTAACTTATAGGTTAAGGATGAAGTAATAGTTCATCGAAAATAAAAAAAAAATTCATAAAAGAGGAAACAAATTGTCGTGTGTCAAATTACTCTTCTACCCCTAATATATATATGAGTCCTCCGTACCTGAAGATTTCCTAATTCGACCCTTTGACTCTATCATCTCCCGGTTCTGAACTCTCTTTTGGTTATCGCCATCTACCTCATCGGAACTACGGTCATCGCCACCTCCACCGCCGCCGCCGTCTTTTCCACCTTCATCGGAGCATCTACTATTGCTGTTGATCTCTACGGCTCGTTAATTTTGACTAATTTTATTCTCTTCTGTGCTAGAGGCAGCTGGAATCGGACGTTGGTGAATTACAGCGAATATGTGGTAATGTTTTATGAATTTCGAAGATTTGGTATATGAATTGTCGTAATGTAATTGAAAATGCTATAATTTGTGGTTGCGTTTGGATTTATGCTCAAATTATAGTTTGGTTGTTTTATTGTTGCTGATTTTAGCTGGGGAAAATTGGGGCTTTTGGTATCCTTACCGAGAAACTCACTTTTTTGTTTGTTCAGGTATTTTTTAACTTAAAAAATGGTTTCAATGTATAGAAATAGAATGATTTTAGCACATCTTTAGTTGGTGGAGATAGCTGCACTCGAGCCTAGGATACTTTGGAAACATGACCTTTACTTCTTTGAGTAGGGGTAAGGTTGACGTACGCTATATCCTCCCGAGATCCCACTTGTGCAATTTCACAGCGTATGTTGTTTTTGTTGTTAGTTGGTGGAGCTTGTTCCAGTGTTCTTTTCTCTGGGGTATGGCTGAGGTCAAGCTGGAAATGTTAGGAACCTAATCTAGTAAGGGATTGTAATATTAGCTTCACGGAATAGATGAGTGTAGTTTGTTGATCAATGAGTCTGAAAATGCAGTGTAATCAGAAAAGAATGTAACTTGTTAATTTCTAAACCTTAAAAATTGGTTGATATATAAAATAAAATGGTTTAACATGTCTTTAGTTGGTGAAGCTTGCTCCCTTTTTCTTTTCATTTTGGTGTCTGGTTGAGGTCAAGCTGGAAATTTAGGAACTCAGTCAAGTGGATTCTGGGGAGTGTAATATTAGCTTCATTAATAGATGAGTGTATTTGTTGATCCATGGGTCTGAAAATGCAAGTGGATATTAGATTAGAATGTACTTTGTTCTTATACCTATATATTTCTTTTCCGAACTGAATTGAGGAGAAGAAACCACTCAGTTTTTTAATGTATAGTTGAGGATTCAATATCGTCGCTAGTGCCATTCTTTTCCTGTATCATTTTATTTCGACAGTCTTCTCTTCTTAAGTTTTTTTCACATTGATTTTGTCTAATTAGCTAGCTCCTTTTGGACAGTGATCACCCTGATATAGATTCATTGTGTACTAGTGTATTATGGTTTTTTGATGGTCTTGTTACCAAATGTACTTATATATGCAATGATCAATCAGGCAAACCAGTCTTAACTTATTTCTTGGTATTGTCTTGACTGCAGTATTACAGATACTGTAAACTTATTTCACGGCAAAATGGTTGGATGAATATAAGGCCTACCCAGCTGAGTAAGTGTGGGATTCTCATCTATTTGATGGAATGCTTATAGTCTGTGCTATGAAGTACATGTTCTTTGGAAGGATACAAGATAAAAATGAATTTGCAGCATATGTCCGGGCAGATCTCAGGGCAGGTTCCAAATCAAAGTGGCACTTCTCTGCCTGGGCTACCCCAGCAGAGTGGAAATCCTCTTACTATGCAGATGCAAAATCCGGTTGTCCATAGCAATGTGCTAAATATGGAGCCTGATTTCTCGAGAGCTCGGATTTTTATATCAAATAAGATGTAAGAAAGTATGTTCTTTGCATCCATTAAAATGTCTCCAAGGTGTTTTCTTCCTTCCATTATGCTGTTGCCTTTGGCAGGGAGGGGTTTGAGATTTGGATGGTGCAGATAAACTAAAGTAGCAAGCCGTCAGTGACTAACTTATTAATATTGTGAAGACTAGTTTGTCAAAGTTGATGAGCCACTAGCTTTCCTTCACCTTTAGAAGAAAATATTGTTTTATTGTAGAATATATAAGAGGTCATATGAGAATAACGTATGTTCTATAAATTGTGTAGCTAAGTTGCTCGGACTCTAGTTGTAAGCAATACCCCGAAAACTCCGACAAAAGCGGGTGTCCTATACGGGCCTTCGTGATCTAGTTTTTAAGATTCGGTGATATGGTCCCATGAATGGATACATGTGCGTGGATTTGCCTAAAAATAATTAAAATCTCTAAAAATAGAGTTATAAAATCTAAATTATGTGATATTTTGTGGAGTACTTAGAGGAGAATCCTGCAAAGTAGATTAAAGAAAAATGGAGTGACATAGAAATTTCTATATAAAAGCTATTCCATTTTCTTCAATTTCATCTTAGCTTTTGTATTTCTATGATTATAGAAATCCTTAAATTATCCATACTTTCCCGTCGATTTGGTCAAAGTACCCAAATTGATTGACCAAATCGGACACGGATCCTACACCTGTACCCATGTCGTGTCGACACGGGTGCGACACTAGAAGTGAAGAGTGCGAGCAACTTAGCTGTGTAGCATCTTGTTCATTTGTCTGCCTAGGCTTTTCCATGTATTGCCTCTCAATAATGACAAATCATGTTGATTCCTCGGCATTTGACATTTAGTCAGACTATGATACTTGGAGAATTCTTTTTTTGATAGGTGATAACTTTTAGCTAAGCCTCGGCAAATTCAGTGTTGCACCTGTTTTGACACGACAGTGACATGGGTAAGGGTTTGGGATCGGTGTCGGATCCGATCAAACGAGATTGGGTTTGTTGACCAACAATTCAGAGAAGAAAATTGAAAATTTGATATCTCAAAGTAAAGATTTGAATAGATCGAAAACAAATACCTTCAATTTTTCCAGCTACATAGTGATTTATACTAGTCCTTTATGTCCTTCAGAGGTTTTTTCTTGATAAATTAGAGTAATGTACAGTGGAGGAGCTTCTACAATCTTCGTGTGGTGCTAAGCACACATTGGTGTATGAATTTGTGAGGGAGGAGATGCGGCGCCATTTTGGAACTACACTAGGGTTCTTCATCGTTTTGTCTCTCTGGTTTCTTCTTTCTATGCGTGATTGGAGAAGGGGGGTGGGGGGTGGGTAATCATGGTGGTTTGAAGAAAGAGGGTGTGGGTTTGTTCGGTCATGGTTTTGGGCTAGATTTGGTAATGTTGGGCTAAATTTGGCTGGATATTTTGGACATGGATAATGATCCATTACATGAGTGAGACCATGTCCCTTGGAGTCCTCTATGAATAATAAAATCAAAATTAGAGTATTATTTAAATGAAAAATACTCGATTCAAATTGAATTGCATTTTGACTCTGTGTTTTTGGTGTAATCAAATTTACTCTAATGATACCGTCTCTATCATTGATGTGTTAGACTCATTATAATGATATGTCGGTATTATAAGTGTTCCTTATGTAAGTACGGGTTTCAGTACAACCTATGTACTGTTCTACCGAAATTGAAACAATTACCATTTAAAAGTAAAGTTCTGATTCAAATTAGAGTTTTATTTAATCCAAATTAGACCAGGTCCATTCGATGGTAATTATAAGTTTTCCATTATGTCTCATATTTATGTATATTTTTAGTTTTTTTACCCATCCCCGCACCCGTATCTGTATCTAGATCCATATCCCTGAATCTTAAAATCATGAAGGATCCGACATGCGGATCCACACCTGTGTCGAATACTCGCACCGTGTCCGAGCAAGTTAGCTTTCTAGATTTAGAACATCCTTTTAAGCCAATGTATTTATTATTTGAATGAAATGTGACCTAGTAGAGTAGAAGATAGGAGGGATCATTAGTTGTTTGATTCATATGTAACTTATTCTTTTGCTCGGATCCTCCTATATGACTCTCTTCTGACTTACGTTTTGAGAGGTGCCTCAATGCAAGCTGTTCTCTCAGGTTAGTATAAAATTTTAATTGTTGGTTGTGAGATCTTTCTAGGGTGAATACTCCTTTTGTCCCTAATTACTTGTCCACTTTTTCTTTTTTAGTTGTCCCTAGTTACAATAGCGGATCCAGGATTTGAAAGTTATGGGTGCTCACTTCCTTTAACGTAAAGTTGCTTGCCAAGAAGGGTTTCCTTATAAAAACTTATATTTTTGTAGTTTAGTTAGCAAATGAAATATTAAAAAATAGAAAGGTGAAAAACAATATATCGGAAAGGACAAAAAAACCAAGCAAATAACAATGAATAGGTATAAAAAAAGAGTAAAAAAGAAAAAAGAAATTCAGTTTGCTGGGATTCGAACTGTCAAAGTTGAGGGTGTCAACATAAGCTTTTAACTTTGCTCTGTGAACCAAAGCACCCGTCAGCCCTTTTTGTTTTAGTGGGTGCTCACGAATTGGTTATATCTATTTTTAGTAGTTTCCATAAGCATATACAAAATTTCCGTCGGAGTTAATGGGTGCTTGAGCACCCGATACTTCCTATGTGGGTCCGCCCCTGCCTAATTACTTGTCCATTTTAACAAATCAAGGAAGGACAATTTTTTTAATCTATTATACCTCAATTAATTACTTTGCAAAAGCTTGAACTTCTTGAAAATCCCAAGTTATTAATTCATCCACTTCACAATAAATAGGGGTAAAATGGTAAATTCACTATGTCAATCATTGTTTTAGGTTTGCCAATTCAAATAGGTAGAATATTGGTTTTCCTATTTAAATACAACAATGAAAGAAGGATGAGGAGAGAACATTGAGGCACTGTTCATGAACTCTTTTAGTTTTCAGAGACTTTGCTATCTGCTTTTCTGATTGCATGGGATATACTATGTTGATTCCTGGATTTTGGGAGGTTCTAGCCCTTTTAAAATGCATGTAAATTTATGTTTACTGTGCTGATGGTATGGTCAGTTCATTTTGGTGTGTGTTTATTTTATTCAATTCGTGGGCAACAATTGATCAGTTTGTTTTTTTATTTTTCCCAATTATTGGCTGATAACATGAAGAAGTATATAATTTGGTAGACAGGTATTTGACTATTTTCTGTGTGCCAAAGTACAGAACTTTTATTTTTTTACATTATTTGTGTGCTTTTAATGACTCCATGATTCATTTAGTGGCTGGATGTTCTGTGAGCCAAGTAAATAGTTTTATTTTCTGCCTAAATGTTCATTAATTTCATGTTTCCTCTGCTAAGCTTATCCCAAGTCCCAACAGATGCGCGTCTCTGTTGTTCATTTTTCTTTTAAATCCACTTGGAATCTTTTAATCACTAATTATGACATTGATTGTACTGCAAATTCTGATATGTTCTATGATGGTGAGAACTGATGAGAGTATTGAAACATTGCTGCTTTCAGCTACGATTATCTAATGCAGCGGCAGCAATCCCATGAGAAACCTCCAAAGAAGGTTATGGATATAGTTAAACGCTTGGAGGAGGGCTTGTTTAAAAGTGCTTCATCAAAGGTTTGCTATTTCAGTTCTGTTCTTTATGTAGTTGTTTACGGCTTTCTGCTATGATGAGAAGACGATGACAAAGATAACAACACCTCAGTCCCAAACACGTTGGGGTTGGCTATATGAATCCTACTGATGATGTTCCCCATTTAAAATCATTTCAGGCCAACATTATACAAAACAACAATAAAAATGGAAGTACTAGAAGTTCTCTATATTTCCTACTAGCATAAGAATCTCTAATAAAGCTAAAAGACTCCTAGAAAGTATTATGATGAAAATACATTCTATTTATTTTGCTTGTTGACTTAGCTCCTTGTAATGTTATTAGGAAGAGTATTTGAATCAAGCAACTTTGGAGAACCGGTTACATGTCCTGATTAAAAGCCTCCGGATGAACAACCAGAACCAGCGATTCCCTCGTGTTAATTCTTCTGGCTCCATTGGTACAATGATACCAACCCCAGGCATGACACAAAGTGCGAATTCAGCCCTGATTGGAACATCATCTGTTGACAGTTCCATGGCTGCTGGCAGTACCATTGCATCCTCTGCGGGAAGCTTCTTGCCAATGGCTAATGTGTCTTCCAGTGGTACATTTGCTTTTCTTTTAGTTCTGCTGATGGTATTATTATTTTCTAGGTTATTTAAGGATTTATTTCACTCTGTACTTATCCTTGCAGGGTGTTTGACAAATGGATATCAACAGCCAACTTCCAATTTCTTGGTCAGTTCGGGTGGGAATAATTTGGTACCATCAATGAGTGGGCAAAGAATGACAAGCCAAATGATCCCCACTCCAGGGTTTAATGCCAGTGGTGGTGCTAATTTGAATAGCAACACTAACACACAGTCTTCCCTGAATTTGGACTCAACCAATAGTATTGCTGCACTTCCTAGTGTTGATTCCATGAATGTTTCACAGCCTCTGCAACAAAAGCAGCATGTTGCTGCTCAAAACAGCCGTATACTCCATACAGTTGGCAGCCATGTGGGTGGTGGAATCAGGTCAGGATTTCAGAATAGATCCTATGGACAGTCAACTGGGCCTCTTAATGGAGGGGGACTTGGAATGATTGGAAACAATTTGCACTTGGTGAATGGTTCAGCACCTGAGGGCTATATATCAGCAACCACGTATGGGAACTCCCCAAAGTCATTGCCGCAGCACTTCGATCAACAGCATCAACCATTAATGCAAGGTGCTCCCACTTTCAACAAGTGCCCATAAAATAACTCCTGCAGTCGGATTGTTTCAAACTTCAAATAATATATGAGAATTTTTCAATTTTTTTTTTGGACAGGTGATAGATATGGTATCAGTCATGCAGATACTTCGGGGTCTGGAAACTTATGTCTTCCTGTTTCTTCTGTGGGAATGGTCATGAATAATCAAAAACCGGGTGCTGTAGCCTTACAGTCCATCTCCAGAACAAACTCTCCGTTGATTACCAATCAGTCAAACTTGACTGCCTCTGGGCAAATGCCAAATGTAAAGGTTCAACCAGCTGATCAGTCAACGAAAATGAACTATCAGTCCCAGCATTCACTGGGAGATAACCATTTATCTTCCTATCAGCATCAACATTCTCAACAGCCACCTCAGCAGTTCCAGGAGCAACATCAACTTGTTCAACCTCAACTCCAACAGAAGCTGCAAAATCAGCAGCACCAAACTTTGTCAAGGAGCAATGCTTTTGCTCAAGCTCAGGCTCCTTCTGATATTGGTATTCAGGTAAAGTCTGAGCATGGAAATCATGATGAAGCTCAACATTCCCGGGTCAATGCTGAGCAATTTCAGTTCTCTGACATGGATCAGTTTCAGCCAAATTCTATTGAAGACCATTCTAAAGGTACTCAGTTGCTCCCTCCTTCGTCTAGTCATCAGGATATCTGTTTTTCAGTGTCTCAGCCTTCAGAACAAATGTTTCAATTGTTGAATTTACAACAGTTTGTTACTGACTCTGAGAGTCGTTTCAGCTTTTTCTCTAATGGGGTTCATTCAGATGCAGTATTTCAGGGTCAATGGTATTCCAAGTCGCAAGATGGGAGTCAAATACCGGGTAGCTTCTCAGATAAGCAAAATGTGCAAGAGGAGTTGTATCTGAGAACTTCCAGGAAAGAGGAAGCTTATCCAAATAATTTATGCACTGAGAGATCACCGATCGGTCAACCTGTTGGTAATGGAGCAGTTGCCACCAATAACGCAAGCAGCTCCATCTGCAGATTTAATCACCTTCCTCGTGAACGACAGTATTTCAATCAGCAGAAGTGGCTATTGTTTTTGACTCATGCACGTGGATGTTCTGCTCCTGAAGGGAAATGTGCAGAGAAGAATTGCATAAAAGCTCAAAAACTTGTGAAGCATATGGAACGATGCAGCACCTTTGAGTGTCAATATCCTCGTTGCCCTGCCACAAGAGACTTAATTAATCACTATAGACGTTGCAGAGATCTAAACTGTCCTGTTTGCATTCCTGTCAGGAAATTTGTACGGGCACAACAGAAAGTTGCTCGTCCTGGCTGCAATTCTGATATGCCATCTTCTGCTAATGGTACTTGTAGATCCTATGGTACCGGTGAGATTGCTTCCAGGTTGACTGCCAAGCAGGGTTCAGTGCCAGTTCAAACAGAAGATTTACAGTATTCAGTTAAGCGCCCGAAGATTGAGCAACCTTCTCAATCTCTTATCGTGGAAACTGAAAATTGTTTTATGTCAGTTACCGCCAGTGAGTCTCACGTTACCCAAAATGCCCAGCCCATTGAACAGCATGGCAATGCTGTGGCAATGAAATCTGAAATCACTGACGCAATGATGGAAATTCCTGCTAAGGCTGTGCTAGTCAGTCCCAGGAGTATTGACATACGAAATGACAATTTGGATGGTTCCTGCATTCGGAAGTCTGATGGTGATTCTGTTGTATCAAGTAATGCAGCTTGTCTTGTGAAACAGGAAAATGTTAAGACTGAAAAGGACATTGTTCAGCCTAAACAGGAAAATATGTCAGCACCCTCTGAAAGCACCAGTGGATCTAAGTCTGGGAAGCCTACAATAAAGGGTGTATCAATGACTGAATTATTCACCCCAGAGCAAGTCCGAGAACACATTATTGGTCTGAGGCGATGGGTTGGCCAGGTCTGTCTTGAATGCTATTGTTAGTGGTCTAGCATACACACTTACTGCCACTCTTATCTGTGTTTCAAAATGAGTTGATGATTGATGTTTTAAAAGACATTTAAAGCCTCAATTTTAGTTTTACCTTTCATCAGTACGTGGTAGAGAACATAGCAGCATTATATGAGTATCTGTGGCATATATTCTACCGACATTTTTTTATTTGATTTTTTGATCGGTTTACATTATCATTTCAAGGAGTGAGATTTTGATTTCATTTTTACTTGACAGACCAAAGCAAAAGCAGAAAAAAATCAAGCAATGGAACATTCCATGAGTGAAAATTCATGTCAATTATGTGCAGTTGAGAAGCTAAATTTTGAACCTCCACCTATATATTGTACTCCTTGTGGTGCTCGTATTAAACGAAATGCAATGTATTATACCATTGGAACTGGTGATACTAGACACTACTTTTGCATTCCATGCTATAATGAGGCTCGTGGAGACACCATTAATGTTGATGGGACCACTATCCCGAAGGCGAGGATGGAGAAAAAGAAAAACGACGAGGAGACTGAAGAATGGGTAATGTCTTACCTTTTGGAATTTACTTCAGAAGATATCAGTTTTGAAGAAACAAATTGAAAATTTCTGCTCTACACTTTTTTTTCAGCTGCTCACAATGTTCTCTTCATTGTTCTGAAATTTTAAATAGTTTTTGTCTTGTCAAATTAAAAATTACTGTTTTGTGCAGTGGGTTCAATGTGATAAGTGTGAAGCTTGGCAACATCAGATTTGTGCATTGTTCAATGGTAGGAGGAATGATGGTGGGCAAGCCGAGTATACCTGTCCCAATTGCTATATTATAGAGGTTGAAAGAGGTGAGCGTAAGCCCTTACCACAGAGTGCTGTTCTTGGAGCCAAAGATCTGCCTCGCACATGTCTCAGTGATCATATTGAGGTTCGATTAGATAGGGTTTTGAAGGATGATAGACAAAAAAGAGCAGAACGTGAAGGAAAAAGTTATGATGAGGTAAGTGAATTGTCTTGCGTTTTGATCACTACAGCCATCATGTTAAAGTTTCGTTGTTTAACATAAGAGAATGATACATAAATGGGATATAGTTTTGATTGATAGTCATCATCAAGGCAGTCCCCTCCCCAATACAATAGATTCTAAAACAGCTCTATGTCATGCTATGATAAATATTGGCATTCTAAACATCATAAAACTCACACTGGTCTTTATGGTGGATGCTGCATTCACTTCTTTGACCAGAATAGTTGCTTATGCTCAAGTCCAGACCGTGGAACAGCTTCAGCCTTCTAAAGAAAAGTGACATAAATAATATATCTGCTCTTCCTTTTTCAGAAAAAAAGAGTAAAATATCTTGTCCTCACATTTTGCAGTTTTATGTTTTCCTTTGGAGAGTTGGATAACCTCATGTAACATTCATTTTAGAGAATATTAAGAACTGTGTCAAATATTAGCTTTCATTCATATCCTGGGTAGGGATATAAATTAGCTTGTGGATTGCACCGTCTCAATTGCTTAACAATTTTCCTAATAAATATAGAAATTTGTTTCCTCTTGGAAAAGATGTCTTGTTCGGGTGTTTCTTCCAAGTTCTGTTTATTGATATGTTAGTCAGCAATGGTTCACTTATGTATGTTTAGTTAACCTTCTGCATATGTTTTTTATTTCCAGGTTCCCGGTGCTGAAGGGCTTGTTGTAAGAGTTGTGTCATCAGTAGACAAAAAGTTAGAAGTGAAATCAAGGTTTCTTGAGGTCTTTCAAGAAGAGAACTATCCGCTGGAGTTCCCATATAAATCAAAGGTACACTTTGACCCTTCTTTTGATTACTACAAAATAGAGTTGTTTGGTTGTGAAAACAGAATTAAACAAAGATTGAAGTTTTGGATGTCTTTGTTGTGAAACAAACCAAAGCAAGCCGAACTTGTCTCTACGATAGCCACATTCTTTTAGATTATACTTTGAGATCCTTTTTCGTGAGTTTGTTTTTCCAACTTCATATTTCTCAATCATATGACTCTGTTATGATATTATAGAATTAATTTAATCTTATTTTATTTTCTTCAAAATTTAATTATCATTCACTATGTTCTATAATGTACATTTTCTTATATTTACATAGAAATAATAAATGCTTTTGTATTAAATGAATGCATGTTTTCAAGGATATTAGTATAACATTCAGATACGATAAGTGGTTTGGTTGAAGTTTATATAGTAGTTGGGTATACTGCTAGTTTACTTCTGGTTTAAGGAGTTCAGGAAACATCTTACCTAACACAATTGTCTTCCAATAACAGTCATCAAAACAGATCTTTTTTGCACTAAATTTTTTTAAGAAACTTTTGTAATTAGTTTCTCTGAAATGCTATTCAGTCGTCACATAATTGTTGTTGATATTTTGGGTGCAATGATTGAGTGAAACTGAAATGTGTTAATACCGTATATTCTTACGTTTAAAGTAGATCAGATTATTGGTTTGTGAGACATTGTTTTTGATAAATCATTGGTTTGAGAGACATCACTGTAACGTCACTAACATGCGCCTCATTATGTGTTCCTGATGTGCATTTGATAAGAGCCTTATACAGGTAAAATTATTTGGTTCCCTCCATATCTGTTCATTTTTCCTTGACCTGAATATTGCCTCAGCACCCTTGAACTTTGTAATAGCTCCACCTCTGTCATGAAGAGATTATTTGGGGGAAGCCTATACATTAGTGAAATAATTAAATAATTGGATTGGGAGCTTGATTTTGGTATGGTTGTCTTGGGAATAAATTGGTGGACTAATTCTTTTCATTATTCTTTGGTACATGTAACAAATCGATTGGTCAGCTAGTTGAGATCGGCTAGATAAATTCTGTGCAACTGTTACACTCTATTATATTGTCTTCGGTTCTAGGTCAAGTATTTGGTCATAAGATCTCTGTCTGTCATTTCTTAGCTCATTTCTCTTGCAATTAGGTGATCAGGATTTGAGTGCTGACTATTAAGTTGCATCCTTCAGGTGTTATTGTTATTTCAGAAAATTGAGGGTGTAGAAGTGTGCCTCTTTGGCATGTATGTTCAGGAATTTGGATCTGAATGCGCACAACCAAATCATCGTCGTGTTTATCTCTCGTATCTAGATTCTGTCAAATATTTCAGGCCTGAGATCAAAGCTGCATCTGGCGAGGCTCTTCGCACTTATGTGTACCATGAAATTTTGGTGATCTTCTTCTGCCATTATTTTTTTTGTTGATTTCTATATCTGTATTACAGATTTTTAGAGTTCTCTTATTATATTTTGATCATTCCAGATTGGATATTTAGAATATTGCAAAAAGCGTGGTTTCTCAAGTTGCTATATATGGGCTTGTCCTCCACTGAAGGGTGAAGATTATATATTATATTGCCACCCAGAAATCCAGAAAACCCCAAAATCTGACAAACTCAGAGAGTGGTGAGCTTAATAATTTTTTGACGTGTTTTTTTCTTAGAATGTGTCCTTCAGTATTAAATCCTTGGGTATCTGTTTTGATGAACTTCTAATATGGTGAGTTAATGTTGTTCTTTTGGGGTATATGTTCTTGACTAGTTCACTTTCTTATATGCAGGTATTTATCAATGTTACGAAAAGCTGTGAAGGAAAAGATTGTTGTGGATCTCACAAATTTATTTGACCATTTCTTCACCACCACAGGCGAATGTAAAGCTAAAATCACTGCAGCTCGCCTGCCCTATTTTGATGGAGACTATTGGCCTGGTGCAGCAGAGGATATGATTTTTCAACTTCAACAAGAAGAAGATGGGAGGAAACATCATAAGAAGGGGGCTATGAAGAAGACCATATCAAAAAGAGCTCTTAAAGCATCTGGTCAATCCGATCTTTCTGGAAATGCAACTAAGGATATACTTCTAATGCACAAAGTAATTTTATCCTCTAGACATCTTTATTAATCTGATCATTCTGGAAATGCATCTAATTATCTACTTCTAATGCACAAAGTAATTTTAGCGTCTAAACACTTTATTTACTCCTAACCTTCTTCTACTTCCTCTATGAATGTTTGTTGACTGATTTTGCTGTTAATATGTGTTGTGCATTCATCAAAAGATACATCGCGGTTTGTGGCTTGCAGCCTTTTGAACTATTTAAACTATTTAGTATTTTTCCTCTGTAAATACTCCTCTGGAATATATTGCCACTCTCTTATCAAGCACTGACTATTTGTAAAATTATTTTGTTTAAAGCTGATGGACTATCAACCTCCTCCTTTTATGTATACATTCTTTTGTGTCCTCACAAATTTCTACTTGTCGCAGCTTGGTGAAACTATTTCTCCAATGAAGGAAGATTTTATTATGGTCCATTTGCAGCATGCATGTACTCATTGCTGTATTCTGATGGTATCCGGTAATCGTTGGGTATGCAAACAATGCAAGAACTTTCAGCTTTGCGACAAGTATGACTCTTGCCTCTCTCATTTCGTTTATTAGAGTTGTAAAAACTTTTCTAATAAGAGTCATGCTTATTACACACTTGAAAGTGAATCAACTACAAGTAATCTTCTTCTCATCTGAAATGAGAACAGAGAAAAAACAAGCTAGACAAAAAAGTACTCAGGATTGTCTTTTTTCTTGTTTAACAAAGTGTCGTTTTCTGTCTTCTGATTGATTATCCAAAGGGACTTAATTTTTAAGTGACCACTAAGCTATATATCCATGAAACAAAATCGCCAAAACCTTGGGGTTCATATTTTTCTTTGTAATGTTAAAAGGCACCCTTTGAGTGCTGAAGTAAGTTTAACAAGGGTAGAACACACAATACAAATGATAGTCTTCTCAAAGCAGGACCTTACTAGACCACTCATTCTTGGTCATGAACTTGCTAATCTTTGCAATATAGTTTCACATTTGTGCATGCTGCGCATTGCACAATCAGCTGATGCCTAATAGGTGATTTTCCATACATTTATTGGAAAAACTAGCGACATCTAAACTCCAAACAGCTGTTCCCATGTACGTATAACGGAGGTAGGTTGACAATTAGCAGGGGAGGACTACATATAAAAAAAGAAATGAAACTGTAAAAAAAAATTATTGCTGAGTGCAAGTCAGATTAGATATATTCTCATCTGGTAAAATTTGTGAGTAACACATACAAGATAAAATGAGGGAAGGTCATCTAAGATGGTTTTTCCATCTCATACATAGGTATTATGATGATTGAAGGTGTTAAAAAGGAGATGAGGTTGATCTAAGGTTCACATGGAAAATGGGATGGAAGTAAAGATCTATATAGACGATATTTACCAAGTGATGTTAATGTTTAGTCGTTTGTACACTTACCTCTGGTTCGGTATCTCTCAAGAGTAATGTTAGTTGGTTAGAAGTGAATGGGGGCCTGTTTTATGTCTTCACTTCCGCATGCTCCTGGTAGCATGATACTTAGACCAGGAAGATTTCTACGGAACTTCCTATGGAGTACAACAGAGGATATAAAGAAGTTCCATTTTGTGAACCGGAGAGTTGTTACATCTCCACAGGAATGGGGGTAAAGTCGGAGTAAAAAATCTGAATGTTTTCAACAGAGTTCTGCCAGAGAAGTGGATTTGATATGGGATGGAGGGTGGTTGCTGAAAAATATGGTATGATGGAAGGGGGGTAGAGGACTAGAAACATCTCAGTCCCGTTTGGGTGCAACTTATGGATGGGTATATTATGAAAGGATGAGAAGAATCCAGTGGAATATTTTCATTTAGGGTGGGAAATGGAAGAAGGGTTTTATCTTGGGAGCACATGTAGCATGGAGAATTGATTAAGGGAAGTGCTTCCCAACATATATATATGTAGTTTCTTGGAAAAGAGAGACGACTATCCAACAAGTTCGTATGATTCATGAGGGAAGTTCACTGGAATTTGAGATTTAGGAAGAACCCACTGGACTGGGAGATCAAGGAATATCTAGGTTGAACTTTTGTACAGGGAGAACACACCACATGTTGCATTCGAGGTATGAAGATGGCAAGAGAATAGAGATGATTTGTCCATTGTCAAATCTTATTATGAGAGGTTACTACGGAGAGAGAGGGATCAAACATTTCCTACTCGACTTCCCAGGGTGCATAAGAAGCTTTACTTCTGTGTGGTTGGTAACAAGGGAAGTGATTTTGACGACATAAAATCTAAGGAAGAGGAAGATCACCTATGTTTTGGTTGCTTTATGTGCAGAGGTTCGAGCAGAGAGGTTGATCATCTCCTTTTGTATTGTCAATTTGCTGTATGCTTCTGGGCAGATGGAATTGGGGGGGGGGGGATTTTGACTGCAGAAAGTCTGAGGAAGAGAAGGATCGCCCATATTGGTTGGTGCTTCATGTGCAGAGGCTTGGGCGAAGAGGTTGATCATCGCCTTTTGCATTGTCAAGCAGCTAAGCGATTGTGGACGGGTGGTCCTTGATTAATTTGGATTGCTATGGATGATGTCGGGCACAATGAAGAAGGCTTTCCATAGTTGGGCCTGAACTTCAGGCAAAGAGAAGTTCAAGGTCTTGGAATGTTATTTAGTCATTATGTGTAATATGGAAATAGAGAGATAGAACTTTTGAAGGGGTTGTCCATAACTTTGTAAATCTGTAAAATAGTCTTTTGTCTCTAGTTTCTTTTGGTGTACCCAAAAGGTACCTATTTGTGTTGATGATTTGGTTTATTCTGTTGAGGATCATATTTTGGTGTAGGTTATCTTCTTTTTGGCGTACAACTTGCATACACATGGTTTCCACAATTTTTAGTAAAGTTTAAATGAAAAAAAATAACTTAGAGATAAGTGTGACATTTAGAGAATCTAGAATTTTAGAGATTTATCTAATTGTCTTGAAAGATAAATTATTGAATACATTATTTAATTTGTCCTAAATAGCATGGAATAGATATGGATACAGAGGATGCATATTCTGTTTTTTCAAGAATGACCAGAAGTAGACTTGTCCTGAATAATTACATCCGACCTTTTGTCTTGATTCATAGTCAAAAAAGACAGGATCTAAAGGCACACAATTTTTTATCTTAACCAACTTAGGTGGTGGTAATGCTCCAAGTATTTAGAAGATATGAATTTTGTAAAATAGCTCATTTTGGACTTATAATGGGATGTTGTTAAGGTATTTTTTAGTGTGTCTATGAAATTAGATAAATCTTTCTTAGCAAGCCTCCTTCCTGGCTGAATAAAGGTTGAGATTCCAGAATGCTGGTCTGCTCAAACAAAGCATATACAAAGATCCATAACCTTAACCTTTGCTATCCAAGGGGTATCTTGTGAAGAAGGCCACTTTTCCTGGTGTTCCTATCCCTTCTTAGGCTGTAGTGCTTAATAAGTTATGTGGATTGTATGGTCTTCCTAAGAAAGAGAGACACATTTGATTAATAAGTTAACTTCACTAGTTACTCTGCATGAAAGGGAAAAAAAGAAAAGAAATTATCTGCAATTGCAGTTCTTTTTGCTAGATTCTTTATAAGTATGGATGACAGCTCTTATTTTTCTAGCATCTTATTCTTTTCTTTGTAACATTTATCTGTACTTCTATTCTTTAGGTGCTATGAAGTTGAGCAAAAACTCGAAGCCAGAGAAAGGCATCCTCTCTATCACAAGGACATTCATATGCTTTATCCAGTAAGTAGTTCTTTTAAGTTTTGTTTGCAAGTGTTGCTATATTGTAGATTTTGATGATTGAGGAATTAACTTTTGCAGACTGAAATTGATGATGTACCTGCTGATACAAAGGATCCAGATGAAATTCTTGAGAGTGAGTTTTTTGATACAAGGCAGGCATTTTTGAGCCTTTGTCAAGGAAACCATTACCAATATGATACCCTGCGGCGTGCTAAACATTCCTCAATGATGGTCCTTTACCACCTTCATAATCCCACTGCACCAGCTTTTGTGACAACTTGCAATATTTGTCATCTTGACATAGAAACAGGTCAAGGTTGGCGGTGTGAAACTTGTCCTGATTATGATGTATGTAATGCTTGCTATCAGAAGGATGGTGGAGTTGATCATCCTCACAAGTTAACTCATCACCCATCCATTGCTGAGCGTGATGCTCAGAATAAAGAAGCTAGACAACAACGAGTTCTGCAGGTGCATTTTCCGTGGCCATTAATATTGGTTGTGGTTTTTTGCTGTTCTCTGTCACTCAACCCCCACCCCCAAGCCATAAGTTAAAAATAAGAGGAGAATATGCTAATCTCTGGTTGTGGTTGTATATGATAAAAACATTCCTTTGCACTATGCTAATCTCTTTGTTATGCTTACATATGAAGTCTGAAATGATCTTGCGATTTGATTCTGCAGCTTAGGAAGATGCTTGACCTCTTGGTGCATGCATCTCAGTGCCGCTCTTCCCATTGTCAATATCCAAACTGTCGGAAAGTTAAGGGGCTTTTCCGCCATGGTATACAGTGCAAAGTACGTGCTTCAGGAGGTTGTGTTCTCTGTAAGAAAATGTGGTACCTTCTTCAACTCCATGCCCGTGCTTGCAAAGTATCCGAGTGTCATGTGCCGCGATGCAGGTCAGTTGGCTTTTAATTTTTTTTATTAGGTATTGGGGAAGGGGAAGTGAGAATGAAGTGGAAATCACACACACCTATTGTGTGGGGAACTCCCACCAATACCACCATGCTATGAGCCTTGGTGGTAGGTCAGTTGGCTATTACCTCCCGGTATAGGTGTTCACAGTCACTTCTTTTGTATGGTAAATAATTTACTAATATTGGGAGAAGCTCCCCTATACAAGTGGGCGCTTGTAATCACTTATTAAAAACAGCAATTGATAATAGTAATAAACAAGTTATTTAATACTGGAATGTAATGTTCCCGTATGGAGTCAAATGCATACTAAGAATTCATATAGCCAAACCACACTAGATTGAGGCTGATGATGGTAGTAGCAGTAGTAATAGATGTCATTATAGAAGTAAACAAATAATTTTTAATGTTGCTGCAATCCCCTTGACCCCCATCCCCCTCTGTCTCCCCCGTTAGTCTCAGTGTAGATATCAGCTAAATGAACAAATAATTTTTAATGTTGCTGCAATCCCCTTGACCCCCCCGCTCCTTTCCCCCCTCCGTCTCCCCTTGGTTTCATTAGTCTCTGTTGATATCAGCTAAATCTTGTTCACAACATAAAATTGCAACTCTATTACCATTCACAGAGATTTGAAAGAACATCTTCGAAGGCTGCAACAGCAAGCTGATTCTCGGCGGCGGGCTGCTGTTATGGAGATGATGAGACAGCGTGCTGCAGAGGTTGCCAACAGTGCTGGGTGACCATATTGTACAAGTTGTAATGGACATACACAAGTTGTTAATGCTGTACTTGTAGGTATCAACATTATTGGGGAAGAAAAGATCTCGTAGCGTACAGGAAACTGCTAACGAACATACAAGCATGTTCATTGCTGGTTAACCATCACCTACCCGTGGACCTATATTATCCGAGTTGCTCTCATCAACAATGCATCTCTTGGAGTGTATAGGATTCCGAGCATTCCCCACCCGTAGCTCATAAGTGATTTTCTTTAAAATTTTATTCTGTGGAATTGTTGAGGGCAAATGTGCCTGTTTTCCTGATTAATTTTATCATGCATTAAACATTGGGATTTCCTTTTCGTGTGAATAGTTAGTTGTCTTATTTAAAAATGCTCAAGTACTTCACATGTAGCAAGTTACTAGTCCTTGCTAAAACTTGTTCTTGACAGTTTTTTACCCAATGTGACGATGATATGAGTCCGAGCTTAAAGCTGAAATCGATATAATATATAGAGATAATTTCTCATTTTATAGTTAGTTTGGCTATAACTAGCTTAGCATTTAGCAGCATTTGATGTGATACTTGGCACTTTAGTTCCATGTATCTTGATTGATTTATTCAATGAGCATATACTACTTCCTCCAGAACCTTCGAGGTGGCTCAGTGGTTTAAAACCCTTCGAGGTGGCTCAGTGGTTTAAGCTTGGGACTTTCATGTTAGAGATTTCAAAGTTCGGAATGGCAAAAGTAAAGAGGTTGTCCCTGGATTGAGCTCGTCGCTTGGTGCGGGATACCTCTCCTATGTGGTTTGTGAGCTATTGCATAGGAGCGGAGGTTTAATCCTGTGCGCATTCAAAGGATAGTAGTTGTAGTGGCTGTGAATTTCCCTTGTTATAAAAAAAAAAACCTTCATTTCATGAAAACCTATGCTCTACTATTAGCAAATGTATTTTTGCAAATTAACAAGTTAAATGTAAGTAGGCACTCTCCAAAAGTACTTCATACTAAGCATTCATAGGATACACCAAATGATAAACAAGGTTTTATTCAATTCTCTTTTGCCATATTGTGATCTTGATATTTGGTATGATACTGATAATCTAGTCTAACGTACAGGAAAGGCGTCTCATAATTGTAGGCGTCGAAGTTAAGGTCATGAGTTCGATTCTCAGGAACAACATGATGTGTTTGGAAAGTGTTGGGGGAGAGATAGTTGGATAATACTAATATTCTGTCTATGGCAAAGGGCCGGAGATTGCTTGGTTAGAGTCACAGTCAAATATTACGCTTACTTTGATAAGTTTTATTAAGAAATAAAGTTGTGTTTTTACTATTAACTATTGCGTGTCGTAAATTACAATGGCAGGTGTTTGCACTCTACAAGTGGTGCCTTTTCCCAATTTTGACTAAAACGGCAAACACTACATACGGGGAATTGGATAAAAAATATTAATCCACCACACCACTTTGTGTTTCATCATCTAGTTCTTATGTGAGGAGTAATTTTTCATTCGTCACTATTTTTCTTATTGATTTGTGCCTCCGTTCATTTTTTATTTTCATGGTTGTTGGAGAAACACATAATCTAATAGCTTTTGTGATATTTTTTTATTGGTCACTATTTTTCCTATTGGTTTGTGCCCTTCATTCATTTTTTTTTATTTTAATGATTGTTGGAGTATTTATGTCCTAAGAAACTTCAGCCTTGGGGCTTAGTTCTAGCCTTACAAGTTGCTCATCATTCCCCAAAAAAATTATTGACATTTATGATCTAGGCTGAAAGTAAAAACTAAAAAAAATTTATTTTATATGCACAAAAACACATATAGGAGTACATCAGACAATGTTGAACAATTTTATATCTTGGACCTATATAAATTATAACAGTAACAGAGGTCAAACGTGCAAGGCACGTTTCTAGAACTAGTCTAAGACAAAACTACGAGGATGGTGGTGGAGTGGGTGGTTGTGAGAGTGGATACGAGACAATGCAACTTGGTTTCCTCGAACACGAGAAATAAGAAAATATTTTCCGAAAAATATTTTTCACTTTAACAAACCCTATGTATATTGGAAAACATATGGTAGATTGCATAATGAATATAATGCAAACTTAAACCTTTTCAGAAGATAACTTCCTGTACAGTTTGAATTAACTTATTGTTAGTGAGAATATGATAAAATCCAATGGAAGAAAACACAAACTAATGTAAAACATCATACTCTAATAATATAATCTTAGTCATTGCAATCTTCAAGAGAAACAGGACTAACATTAAACATAGAAGTCAACATTAAACAAGAAATAAGGTTTAACAAACCAACATAAATGATCTTAAACTACCACATTCATGCAGATGTTATCTGCTTATTCAACAGAGAGCTTTCGGCGCTTGTACTTCACCATTACTTCCCCTTTGACACCGACAACCATAGCGTTCCAGTCAATTTCAGGGAAAGGCGAGATCAGTTCAAACTCGAAATTTCTCAGCAAGTGACTCCATATTGCTTTAATCTGCAGATAAGCAAATGGTTCTCCAAGACAACCATGTCTGCCTCCACCAAAAGAAATATATGAGAATGCTCCTGCAGCCTTATCTTCTTCTCTACCAGGGCCGAACCTATCAGGGTCGTAAGTATCTGGATTCTTGAAGATATGTGGCAGCCTGTTTGCAAAAGCAGGTGAGGTTGCAACGATATGTCCCTTGGGAATGTCATACTCTTTTCCTTCTCTGGTTGTAACACTGAATTCGCTATGTGAACTACGCAGAAGCATTATCAGTGGAGGATGGAGTCTGAGGGCTTCCTTTATGCATCTGTAGAGGACTTCCATCTCGGAAAGGATATCGTGATCAACCTTATTCCCGTGTTTCTTCATCAGATTCTTCTGTTCATCTACAACAGCCGACATGTACTTGTCGTTGGTGAGGAGGTATGACCCTGTCCAAGTGGAAGTGATCGAACTGGTGTGCTGCCCAGCGAAAAGAGCAGCAATCAGAAGACCTGTGATCTCACCCTCTGTTGTTGGCCGTCCATCTTTGTACTTTGAGTCAATGAAGCATTGTAACATATCATTCTCTGCCTTGCCTGTACGTTTTCGAGAATTTATGATGTTTGCAAAGATCTCTGCTAGCTTCTTCCTGGCATTGTCACGTCGGCGATGGGCTGGAATTGGAAGGTAGGGAAAGATAACACTGATAGGGAGCATCCCATTGTCCAGGTCATGGAAGAGAGCAGACACATCATCAAAGAGTTTATTGCGGACCTCTTCTCCCAACAGACATCTACTAGCTGTCAATATGATAAGATGCTCCAGTTCATATTTTAGGTCTACTTCACCACTCTCACCCCATTTCGAGAAGTATTCCTGCATTTGTCAAAGGAAGAAAACAAACCCAATATCAAATTGCAATTATTCAAGGTCTATAAGTATTATACAAACAGTATAAAAGCAATCTGTCATATTTCTTCTCCATCTTAACTAGCATTTGCTAGTTTGGCCACGGATTTTGAAAATTTATCTTCAACTGATGTTTGGTCCAGACAGGTTTTTGGGAGAGATTTCGCTTTCACTCACAAAAGTTTAAAAAATTCCAAGCAAAACGCATGTCCAAACACAAATTCAAGTTCGAAAAATTACTACTTTAATAACTCAATTTTTCAAGTTTCAACTTCAAAATCTATGGTGAAACCGAAACTTACAGTGCATGCGTGATTAACTGAAGCCCCCCTTTTGGTTAATTCACACAAAAGGTGTTGCAAATGCTAGTTCCTTTAAACAAATATTTCCACCTCTTCTCAAAGACTCAACCGGTGCTCGAAGGATCCTCCAAAGTTAGTAGATTTTTAGAGGATCCAGACACAAGTGGGACAACATTTTTGGAGAGTCCAAGAAACATAAGATTTCTAAGCTCTGAGGACATTATCTTAACAACTAAGGCGACCAATATAAACATTTTCTTCGTTTAATAACAGTAACACAGGTCAAATTATCTTGAAACACAATCAGAGCACACAGACATGAGTCCACTGTAATAAAAGACTTAAAACTTAAGCAAACATTAATAAATAAACAAACTCTAAATGTCATCAATCAAATTCAAGAAAAGATAACAGATTTTTTTTAGTATACCTCAGCTTCTGTAACCATCTGATCTACATAGCCCTTCAACTTAGTGACTCTGAGAGCTTCAGTAAAGAACCTGAACTGTTCCTGCCTAATTGTATAATCAACATCAAAAACCACACCAGGTCCAAAGGTAGGCACATTGAACTGATAAACCTCTTGTTGGCTAAGATCTGTTTCTGGGGCTTTGAAAAAATGTGCAGAAACTTCTGGACCAATGAAGAATGTGATGTTCTTGTTCAACAAATTCAGAGTAAACACACTCCCAAGCTTTGGATACTCCTGTCTAAGCATCACAACTGGCCCTTTAAGAAAACGGATCAACCCACCAACAATAGGCCATGCCTTAACCACTGGAGGCAAACGTTTCTTAGATCTGGGCATAATTAGTGCAGATATGAGCTTTGCTACCAAAAGGGTTGCAACTAAAAGCAACCCCACATTCAAAATCTTGTTGTCACCTAACTCCATAGCTGAAAAATATCCCTGCAATTTAAGAAAAGATTGAAACTTTAACATGGGAATCTTGACATTTCAGTTGTTGACTATATGAACTTTCACCTCGTAATCTCATTCCCTTCCCCTACCCCAACCCCTACCCCTAACCCTAACCCTACATTCTTTTTATCAAGACATTGAAATGTTAACATAAAGATCTGATATTCCAAACAAATCGAGAAAAAAAAAAGAGAGTAAAATGGTGAATCTTGTTATCCCTTAACTCCATAGCTTTTTTAAAAAAAACATGCAATTCAAGAAAAGATTAAAACTTTTAAAATGGCAATCTTAATAAGTCAGTTGATTAACGATACGAACTTTCACCTTATTCGTGACAGTTCGAATTCCCACCTTCTATTCCCCTCCCCATTTCCATTCCCCCCACCCCCATACACCAATTTTAAAAAAGATTGAAACTTTAACATAAAGATCTGAGATTCCAAACAATAAGAGAGAGAGTAATGGTGAATCTTGTTATCACTTAACTCCATAGCTAAAAAAACCATGCAATTAAGAAAAGATTAAAACTTTTAAAATAAGAATCTTAATAACTCAGTTGATTAACAATACGAACTTTCACCTTATTAGTGAAGGTTCGAATTTCCACCTTCCCATTTCCATTCCCCCACCCCCATACACCAATTCTTAAAAAGATTGAAACTTTAACATAAAGATCTGAGATTCCAAACAGATCAAGCACTTAACTCCATAGCTAAAAAAACATGCAATTCAAGAAAAGATTGAAAATTTTAAAATGAAAATCTTACTAACTCAGTTGATTAACAATACGAACTTTCACCTTATTAGTGAGAGTTCGAATTCCCACCTTCTAATCCCCCCCCCCCCCCCCCTTTTCCATTCCCCCAGCCCCCCATACACCAATTTTTCAAAAGATTGGAACTTTAACATAAAGATCTGAGATTCCAAACATATCAAGCACTTAACTCCACAGCTAAAAAAACATGCAATACAAGAAAAGATTGAAACTTTTAAAATGAAAATCTTAATAACTCAGTTGATTAACAATACGAACTTTCACCTTATTAGTGTGGGTTCAAATTCCCATGGGTTCAAACTTCCCACCCTTCCTATTACCCCCCCCCCTTTTCCCACTTCCCCAACCCCCCCCCCCAACTATACACCAATTTCTCAAAAGATTGGAACTTTAACATAAAGATCTGAGATTCCAAACAAATTTAAGAACCAAAAAGAGAGAGAGAGAGAGTAATGGTGAATCTTATTATCACTTAACTCCATAACTAAAACAAACAACATGCAATTCAAGAAAAAATCAAAACTTTTAAATAAGAATCTTAATAACTCAGCTAATTAACAATACGAACTTTCACCTTATTAGTGAGCTTATTAGTGAGGGTTCGAATTCCCACCATTTCCACACACACACAAACTCCAATTTCTCAAAAGATTGAAACTTTAACATAAAGATCTGAGATTCAAAACAAATCAAGAAACAGAAAAGAGAAAGAGAGGTACCTGAATTAAAGAAAAATTAATGAAAATTTCTTTTTTCAAGAGAGAATAATGATAGTCATAGTGGAGGCGCACCCCATTTGCTTTTTGAGGATTTTCCTTTTTCTTTCACTCTCTTTTTTTTGGCTCAACTATATAGAGATTCAGTCCACCAGTCTAGTGGTAACTATATTGCATAGCTGTTTCTTTATTATTATTATTTTTTATTTTTATTTTTGGTCTGACATGCACAAGAGTTTGTGTTGAGTATAGGATTCTTTGGTAAAAAAAAAAATATTTATTTTTAATTTTTAAAATTTCATATCCGGTAGGAGTGTGCAATAGTCGAATCAATCAATAAATCAAACAAAGAAAATGATTAATGGGATTTAAATGGTTTTATAAAACTAGATTATTGGTTTTTAATATTTAATTTATTAGGTAACTCAATAATTCGTTAAAATAAGTAATTTACTATCAATGGTCATTTAGCTTTCAATTGACACCGCCATAGTTTTTTTTATTTGCGTTGCAATTATATAATTTTTTTGAATGTTAGTAACTGATGTTTCTATTTTATGAGCATTTCGTGAAGCTACATTATTATTTTGTCGCATCAACTCATTGGAGAAGTAGTATAATTCAAGATTTCAAGATAATTGGTGCGCTGTTACAAAAATAATGGATCTGAGATATAAATTTGATTGGTTTGATATCTAGGTTCTTATTACTAAAACTCGTTTACATTATAGATTTAAAATTAATCTTTATCTATTCAAATAGTGTGTATGTGTGTGTGTATATATATATATATATATATATATATATATATATATATATATATATATATTTGCATCGAATATATTGAGATCGACTGAACCATTAATTGTATGTTATATCATCTAGTACCAATTGTTTTAATATACACATTTAATTTAATTATTTTAGAATAATTACAGTGCAAAAAAATAGGAATTTCCAATGTGACAAACTTGAAAATTTTGAAGGATTAAAGGTGTATATATATATATATATATATACACACACAAACTACTATGTATTATCCAATTTTAAAAAGAATAATAAAACAAAATAGATATAAGATTCTTTTAACTTCACTTAGAAAGGTATACTCAATTATTATTTATTATATAATATTTTGAGGCAGATCTCTCATCTATATTTAAATAGTTTCAAAAAAATATAACACTATTATATATAATTTCAAAAAATATGAATTCTCCTGAATTCGATGACCCCCTCTCGTATACGCCCCTACATCAAGCCTACACTGACTTTTGTATAGACGTACTTTTTTACTAGTCTTAAGTAGAAAATATAAGTTTGGTATACGAAACTCCGAATTTTGTACGTCAGTTTGTTAAAAAAATAATAATGGGAATATAATAGTGTTTCATATACGTTGAACTTTGTCATTCAAAGCTGGTATATCATTCGTCATAAAAATTGATCATGTATACTTCTATTGTTATACAAATGAATTAATAAATATTTTTCCTTTAACAAAAGTGAAAAAAATATAATCCATATGGAATATATTTGATTCTCCTCGCACATATTTTTTTTTTTTGACTTTTTTTCTTTTGAGTAATTTAAATTTATGATTTTGATGGTCAAATTTAATTATGTTTCACTAATTTTCTTGTAAAATTTATTATAGATGTCCAGTTTATTAATTTTATTTTTACAAATACAATAACTAAAGTTATAATACAGCGGCAAAAAATAGTTTTAAAATTTTTCTTTACACTAAAGAATGAAAGAAAAAAAATAAGAAACTCGAATAATAATAATCAAAGAAGTCAAAAAAAATCTTGCATGAAAAAAGATTAAAATATACTTTGAACATTATTAGAAGGATCATATATCTACCGCTACATGAATTTTATAGAAAAAGAATTGAAGTCAAAAAGTAAATCTAAAACTAGTTTTTTTCACTCCGTTAGATGAAAGGGTATATGTAAGCTCTTTTTGTTATGATAAGGGTATTTATGAGTCGTTTATATACGAGTTACTTTCATATCAAGAGGTATATTAACTTTAAATTTTAAAATTTAGGGATATATCAAGTTATTTTTTCAAATATAAAAAAGTTGCTATTCAATTCATTAATTTCTTGTAAATTAATTGAGTATTTTTTAAGGATTTTTTTATAACCTAAAACAAGCTAGGAATAATTACATGGAATGTATTTTATTTTAAAAAATCTAAATAATTTTTAAACATTAAAAATATAATATTTCTAAAATAAACTTATAAATAAAAAAATCACATTTATTACATGAAATTAACTGTAAAAAATTGCAAGTAGTTTGATTATCTGATCAAGTTGGTCACTTGAAATCATGCCCTTCCAAATACATGATTATCTTTTTTGCAAATAATAATAATAAATTCGTGCAATTTTACAAAATAAAAATTTGAAAATGATGAAGCGTATATAATTTGGTGTAATTTTACAGATGAAATTTGAAAAATATGATGTGTATATTTATTTTTAGTCTTATTTTCAAAGGTAGAAAATGTTAGGATGGATCTAGAAAGTTGTCAAGGTACTTATCTGAATCACTTCAGTTAATATTACACGGTATATAAGGTAAAAAAAAATTACTTATAGATTTATAATTTTTTGATTGCAAGATTAAAAGTTGACTTAATGAATTACGATAGAAATGTCAAAATCAACCGATAAAATCATAAATCGTCCAATCTTATTTAGTTTCATAGCAGGTTGACAACCACTTATTTTATTAATTGTGTTCATTTTAATCCGCGTATATAATCCATTTCAAATCTGACTTGACTCGTGAGAAACTTCTAAAAAATTAGAAAGACATTTTTATTCGTCATAACAATACTTATTATTAGGTACTAAACAAATTATTAGAAATACACACATGGATCAATTTTAACACCGTTAATTTATTTTTCAAATCCCTAAATAAAAATTTTGAATTCCGTTATTAAAAAATCACACATGAATCATTCTTCGATTCTCATAAATGTAGATTGGATTTGAAAACAATTTTCTTTATTATAATGAATCTTTTCTATCATTACCTACCACGTAATATTTTTTTATTTTTTTTTATAAAATCAAAGTGGTATACTAGTAGTAAACTAGAGTTAAAAAATGATGATCACGTGAGAAAAAAATGAAAACCATGGGCCAATTCCTTTAGAACGCCATAACAAAATATTTGGAGTTTTGGTAAATGACAAACTTTATGTGGTCGATAATTTCTAGGGAAAACCCTACAACTATGACTTTATAATATATATATATTTTTGTCCGGGATGACTCAATTGGTTCGGAGAGTGGTTATTTATACAGATGATTCGAGATCAATTCTCCTTCAATGTTTTTTGAGTCGAGTCTGTCGCATATGATTTGCCTAGTGTGGTTAACACACTGGGATCGAGGGTTATTCAGTGCGCACAAATTGCTCATTCGAAGGGCAGAGGTTGTCGCGGAGCTTGTAGCGGTTGTGGGGTTATTTCAGGGTTCCAAAAAAATATTTTAATTTTTACTTTTTTCTCCGTTCGAGACAAGCGAAATTTGTTATGCATTTCATATACATGTGAATTTATTTGGATATAATATATCTAGAAAAAAATCACATTTAAATTTGACATTATGTATCAGGAGGTATCAGAATATGGGATGATACGTTATATAGTAAATTAGAGTATTAAGTAATTAACTCTTAAACTAGTATGATTTATGTAAGTTCCCTTTATCTATTCACTTTCAGATTTTTTTATGTTTCTTAAGAAATATTTTCTCTGTTTTAATTTATATGAGTTGGTTAGACTTGACACGACATTTAAGAAAGAAAATAAAAAAAAAATTTGTAACTTTTAATCTAAAATAAGTTATAAATATTTGTGTGATTATAAATAATTTTATTAAGAGTGAAATAAATATTTTAAAATTAAATTATTACTAAATATAAAAATATTTCATTCTTTTTTAAATAACCAGAAAGAAAAATAATTTATACATATAAAGATAGTTAAAATAATACTTTTGAATATTAAAATTGTATTTGAACTTGCATGTTACCTTGGAAAATATAGTTTTTGAGTGAAAGTATAAATTAAAAATCAAAATTTTAACATCTAATTAAATTTAATTGCTAAATAAATACATGGAGATAATTTTTAAAAATATGATTCAAAATTTATTGTCAAATCTTGACTAATTCTTTGCCTGGATGGTTGTTATTTGTATTATTAGTTTAAGTCCAATATTTGTTGACTATTAATTAAATTATGTTAGATAGTATCGTTTAAGTTATCGTTAAGTAACGAAAGAAAATTTCATTTTACATAACGATTTATTTAGTGTGATTCTGTCGTTACTTTAATATTTTTTTAAAAAAAAATCTTTACTTTTTTCTTTTATCAATTTTTTGTTGTTTGTTAAGTCTTTTCATTTTATCTTTACTTATTATTTACGATAATAGTTATGTTTATCTTTTACTCTATCTTTTCATAATAATTTTACTTTTTATTTTACTTTTTTAGTAAATTTATTATTTCAATAATTGATGTATATAGGATATTATGTAATAATATAAAACGATACGATATTTAAATATTATATTTATTAAAATAATATTATGAGATATTATAAAAACTGGTAGGCTGAAGGAAATATTTAGTTTGGTTCTGACTGAGAAAGGAATCATAAATCATTAAAGATTTGAAATGTCAGATCAAAATTAATTAGGCACTATATTACACAATAATACAGAAAAAATAATAATTGAAAACATAATGACATGTGTTCTGTGGCGAAAATTTAAAATAGTCAAATTTTAATATAAATATCAAATATTAAATAAAAAAATAATAGCATAGGAGAAGATTTCTTTACCTTCAAGAATTACAAAGTACTCAATGTGATTTTTTTTCTTTCTTTATTGGTAAGAACAACGTTTACGTACATTCAATCTTCTTCGGACTTTACTTACAAAATTCTACTGAAGATCAATTTAGACTCACTCCATAGTCACACAAAGATCTTCACATACTTGTGAAGATTGTGATAATTATAGTTTAAATTTACTCGGTTTCATTCATTATTTTTACAATTTTAAATTTACATTTGATTGCACGCTAATAAAATT